GAGCCAGAATGTACCTATAGACACCAAGCAGTCAAGTTCAGGACATGGTTTTTGCCCTGCACAGCTCTGTTTCCTCCCCAGGGAGATGAGGACACCTGCCATGGAACCATAAGAACCAGCACAATACGGTCCATCCCACAATGTGTGGGACAGCCAGCTGGTTCCCCTGGGGTGAGGAGGAAACTTCACTGGGCCCCAAGGGAAACTGGGGCCGGGCAGGAAAATGAACAGAGGTCTGGAAGGGAGATGCACACAGGGGCTTGTCTGGGCCTTGGTCTCCACTGCACTTGCAAGTTTTAGTTTCTCCTGCTATAAATGGGAATCATGAGGCCTGTCTCTACTGTATGACAAAATGATTGGAAGGGTCAAGTGGGGACACTGAGGCTCTTTGCAAGATTACCCATGGCACCACCCATGGTGCAGGGGAAAACAGACTGGGGGAGGAGAGGGATGAGCTGAATCCTGGCTCTGGCCCTTGTAAGCCATGAACCCAGGCAACACCACTCATTTCTCTGGACCTTCCCTGAGAATGAAGATAGTGAGCTCTCAGAGGACAAGGAGGCCTAGCCAAGGTCAGGTGTGAAGGAATTTTGATTCGGCAGAGCACTGCCCACTTAGAGGAATGAGGAAACTCCAGCTTTGGACTGGGCCATCTTTAGGTCCGACTGAGCAACAGATCCTAAGTTTAAAGGTCCATTGTCGGTTTCTAGTGGCCCTTTCTTTGAAATGTTTTTGAGAAAGCTATGCCATCTTTATAAAGAAAGCCCATTAGCATTTTTTATTTAACTTCTCTTTTTATTCCAATTATACTTGTAAGCTGGGTGCCATTGGCTCATGCCTGTAATCCAAACTGCTTGGGAGGATCACAGTTTGAGGTCAGCTCAGACAAACAGTTCTTGAGACCCCCCCCACCTCCAAAATAACCACAGCAAAATGGACTGGAGTGTGGCTCAAGCAGTAGAATGCCTACTTTGCAAGCAGGAAACCCTGAGTTCAAACCCAGTTCCACAAATAAATAAATAAAAATTACATTTGTAAGTTATTAAACTTGTTTAACCCCTAGTTTCTATCATCTACATTTCTACTCTGCAATGCATGTGGAAGCATCATTTTAGCTCTAATGGTGGGTCAGAATTTTGCTTTCACTGATCAAGCTCAGGACGGGCCTGTCCAGACCCCAATGGAGAGGTTTGCATCAAACCACCAGAGCAACCATGCTTTGCTGTGAAAGCCTCGCCCTTGTGTAGGCACTTCAGGCCTGTTGACAACTTCCCACTGAATGTTCCATTCTTTCCCTCCTCCTCCTCCACAGCCTAGGAAAGAAGAGCAAAGCAGGGCATGCTGGGCAGTTAGAGAAGGAAATACAGGGGATAGGGAGATAGGTGATGTCCTGGTTGATCCAGAGTAAATGCTATGTAGTTGGTAAATCAACTATCAATATTGTGTAAGTTTTAAAAAGATGTAGGGCTGGGGTAGCTCAGTGTAGAGCACTTGCCTAGGCTGGTCCAGTCCTGGATTTAATTCCCAGCAACTAAATGTGTGTGTGTGTGTGTGTGTGTGTGTGTGTGTGTGTGTGTGTGAGAGATTTTTGAGGCATATGGCATAGTGTTTTAAAGTTTACTAGGGAACCAGGTCAAAATGTTATGACACCTCCCAAGTCTAGCACAATCTCATCTCCCTGGTCTTGGGGTGAGTCACTCCCCAAATGTAAGAGGAAGGAGTTAGACATATGGTCTCTGAGTGCCCATTCAACCTCCATAGTCTAAAATTTAAGCCTAGAAAGTGACTCTGTTTCCTCCATGCCATGCCTTAAAGTCTCAGGAATAAAGTTACTATATGCTGTGTACACAGGGCCCATAGCATGCTCTTCTATTTCAGAAACATGAAAAGTGTGCTTTTAGACATGAAGTAAGGACTTGGGGTGTGGCTCAACTATTAGAGTACTTAAGCGTGAAGCCCTGAGTTCAATCCCCAGTACAGAAAGAAAGAAAATTAGAAATAAAGTGAATTGAAACCCTACATACTGTGGTTCACAGAGGTGACAGAATCATAGTCCAAATACAAGAGTGTGTGGAGGCAGGTGCCATACCAATACTTGTAGTCCCTGCTCTTGGGAGGCTGAGGCAGGAGGATCAATTGAGCCCAGGATTTAGAGGACAGCCTGGGCAACATAGCAAGATCCTGTCTCAGAAAAAAAAGGACTACGGAAATGATGCTCACTGTATGTAAAGGGAGAAAAACTTTGCACAATTTGATAATACTATATGTAATAATAATTATATATGTAATACACGTCTTAGAAGGCTGTTCAATGACTATTTATAGAGTTACTCTTGGTGATGTTTGGTTTTTGAAATTTTTTCTATGGTGAGCACATTTTTTTTTTCTCTTTCAGTGGTACTGAGGTTTTGAACTCAGGATTTTGTGCTTGTGAAACAGTCGTTTTACTGCCTGAGCCACACCTCCAGCCCTTTTTCTCTGGTTATCTTGGAGATAGGATCTCACTTTTTTGCCCAGGCCAGCCTGGACCATGACCCTCCTATTTTAAGCTTTCTGCCTGAATGACAGGTACATCACCACACCCAGATTTTTTCTGTTGTTGGGATGGGGTCTTGCAAATTTTCTTGCCCAGGCTGGCCTGGAATCGCTATCTTCCCCATCTCAGCATCCTGCATAGCTTGGATGACAGGAACGTAGCAACTGCACCCAGCTGTTGGTTGAGATGGGGGTCTCTTGAACTTTTTGCCCAGGCTGGCTTCAGTCTTTCAGTCCTCTTGATCTTAGCTTCCCAAGTAGGTAGGAATACAGGCATGAGTCACCCATGCCCAACTACTATTTTTATTTGTTTAGTTCTTTGGGGAGTTGGAGAGAGACCTCAGTTACAAATATTTGGATTAATTGTGCTCCTTAGGACATTATCATTATTGTTTAAAACAGTAATTTAAGAGCTAGCATGGTGGTACACACTTGTAATCTCAACACTCCAGAGGCTGAAGCAGGAAGATTGTAAGTTTGAGGGGTAGCTTGGGCTACATAGTGAGACCTTGTCTTTAAAACACAAAGCAAAAACGAAGAGTGAGAGCGAAAGAAAAACCCCAAAACAGTAACCTAAAAAAAAAAAAAAAAAAAAAAAACCTGACTGCTTTTTCCACTAGATGGCACTCTTCTTAAATTTTAGGCTGCCTGAGATGGAGGTTTGGAAAGGAAGTTTCAGGCTTCATTTTAATCCATTTGGGAGTCTCAAACCTACTTGTTTGTTTGCTTAGCGTTAAATAACTCTTTTTTGTTTTTGGTTGTACTGGGGTTTGAACTCTGGGCCTCACGCTTGCTATGCAGGTGTAAATAACTTTATTTTGGAGTAATTTTAGAAAACTTGCCAAAGTAATACAGAGTTCCTGCCTGTCATTTGCTCAGCTTTCATATATATATACACACACACACATATACACATCTTACATAACCATGCTACACTTATCAGCACTAAGACGTTAACATTGGCACATTGCTATCAACTAAACTGCAGGCTTTATTTGGATTTCACCAGTTTTCCATTAATGTTCGTTTTCTGTTCTAGGATACAGTCCAGGATACCACATTACACCTAGTAATTGTTTAAGAAACAAATACACACTAACTGTATTAATGCTATTTGCATCTTGATGAGTATATTTTTTGAAGAAAGGCAAAGGTTAGCGTTTTGTTTAACTTCTTATTTCTACTATATTTTAAGTTATTTAACTCTTCAACCCCTACTTTATATCATCTGCATTTCTATTTTTTGTGATGTGTGTGGAACCATAATTTTAATAACTTGTATCTCCTCCAATTAATCTTTTGTTTCAGTTTATATTCCTCCATCAGAATGTTATTAAAAGATGAATGCTAGCTGAGGATACAGCTCAGTGGCAGAACTCATACTTAGTGTATATGGGGCCCTGGATCTCATCAGTGTCCCCTCCCCAAATAAAGATGCACGCTAAGGAATTATCACTGATTTTGTTAGATATAACATAGCAGTATGCTTAGAAGTTTTTTTGGCAGCACTGGGGTTTGAACTTAGGCCTCATGCTAGCTAGGCAAGTGCCCTATCATACCACCAGTCCTGCTTAGGACTTTTTTAGAGAGTCCTTATCTATGAGATACATTCTGTTAAAAATGAAATGATCTACTTTAAAACACTTTATCAAATGAGGGCGCCAGATCAAATAAAACAGAATTATATCCAATGGTATTCATTATTTTTTTACTTTTGTGTATCATTGAGATCCTGTAATTAAAACATTGTTTAAAATGAAAATTTTCAAGAGCTGAACAGTACAGGCTTAGTTTTCATGTGATAACCCCAGATCCTGTTGCCAGCTCTTACTGGCAGCTAGTTGGTTTAACAGACATTCATAGATCAACCTGACTGCCATTTGTAGATTCCTAGCGCATGTGTCAGAATACATGTCTTTGGGCACTGCATGAAGGGCTGGAGGAATGACAGCAGACAGTGGTGCCTGCCCTCCAAGAATCTGAGTCAGGCATATTTGAGGTTTGGAGTAGAACCAACCATGCACTAAATGCTGAGTAAAAATGAGTCTTGGCTGGTGGCAAACACCCCATATTTCAAGGTGGGAATTTTATTTGCATCTCTCTTTTTTAGTTTTATGGCTCACATTGAATCATCTCAGCTATGTGGTTAATAAATGAGCGATTTATTGCTATTATTACCCTTAATAATAATCATTTCTAATAATAGTAATTTTTAAATCTCTGAAGTCATTTTTCCCAGGACCTACAACCCTTCATAACTATCATGATTCTTCTTTTGATCATTTAACTAAATTGTCACTGCTAGTGACTGCTGCCTTCCTGCTTGCTGAAATCAGCTGTGTCTTTGCCCCTAACCACCCTGACATTCTGTCTCTGGGCTCAGTAGGCTGACAAGTGGCACTGTGCTCTGCTCTGTGATGGCGGCATAATCTGTCCAACACTTTCACTGTCTCTTTATCCTGCAGCACAAGTATTGGGAGGCCCTAAACTTGGAGCAGGTATGGACATTTGTGCTCTCTGTCTCTCTCTCTCTCTCTCTCTCTCTCCCAGGAGGGACTTCCATGACTTGATTTTCCATTTCTGTTTTTGCTAGTGACTCCCCCCTCTGGATAGTGGGCCCATGACAAATTCCTTAGAGAGAGAGAGAGATTGAGAATTGCAAAACCCAGGAGCAACGCTGAGGACCTGTGGGCTTTTCAGATCTCTCTCAGTTCAGTCTTTTCTGCTTTCTGGGAGGTATTCAGATAAATCCAATCAATAGAGACTCAGAGAAGATGTGCAACCCAGTGAACAAATATGGTTTGGGACAGGGTCTATGAGCAAGCAGAATAGCTGCAAGTCACCAGTAGTGGTAGTGGCATGACTGCAGCAGTTGTTACTATAAACAATCCCACACAGTTGGCTTTCTGAGACCTGGGGCAGCTGGCTTCAGACTCATGCTACCCTTGCCTCCTAGTGACAAAGAGCACATTTTGAGAGCCACCTGTGCCTGTCTCCTAGGATTGTTTCTGATATGAGAATAAATCATCTTTTGTTCAAACTAATTTTATGCCTGGTTTCCAGTAATGTTTTTTATTACTTAAAGTGAAAGGTTTTTGTTGTTTTTTTTCTTTTCTTTTCTTTTTGAGATGGGCCTCTCACTATGTAGCTGGGCTGGCCTGGAACACAAGATTCTCCTTCTGAGTTCTGAAATTATAGGCAAATCACTGAGCCTGGTTTAAAATGAAATTTTAAGGCACCTAATTTGGGCTGAGGATGTGTCTGAGTGGTATAGCACATGCCTAGCATTCATGACACCCTGGGTTCAGTCTCCAGCACTGGAAACAAAACATTCTATGAATTCAGAAGACAGGGATTAAACCATGTATGGCGATACATGCATGCCTATAATCCCAGCATTCAGGAGGCTGAGTCAGGAAGAATAGGAGTTTGTGGCTAGCCTGGGATATATAGCAAGACCCCATCTCAAGAAATGGGGAGAGAGAGAGAGAGAGAAAGAGAGAGAGAGAGTTAATTCTAAGACAATCCACTTTAAAGAATTCACTTGAGCACATTCTGAAATCTCTGATCTGGGGACTCAGGCCTCAGCTCAAAAGCAGCATTCATCAAAGGGTACACTGTCCATCCTCAGAGAACAGAACGGGCCCCTACTGCCACTGAGCAAATGGATCAGAGACTGAGGACCAGTGAGCTCTTTCACTGGGAAGCTTTGATAATGCCCGAATGGAGTTTGATTAAAGGTGCATCCAAGTCTGCAACCACAGCAAATGAGAAGTCCACACTGGAAGTGGCTGGTGGAGCCCCATATGGATTCTGAGAGCTGAGTTGCATACGCCAAGTCAGCTTAGTCCCAGGCCTGCAGGGTCACTGGGGATGCAGAGATCTTTTTTAACATGATGGATTTTTAAAATCACCACATAGTAGAACTGGTTTTTTTCTTGTCAGCACAACACTAATTGAATTAGGCTTTTTGTTCAAACCAGCATGGCATGGGTATTGTCTGAGACCTCTGGGGTGTGGACTGTTTGAATAAGCTTAAGTTTGCACAGCTGGTGGAGCACCTTTGTTGGGGGGCACATTCACCCCTGGGTCTATAATCTTGCCCAAATAGATCACCCAGCCCAGGCTGACACATCCTCTGCCACCATTACTTGTGTCTGGGTTTCCTGATACTGTCAAATGTGACCTCATGAGTCAGTATCATTAGTCATAGAATCTTAGAAATGGAAGAGATCTCCTGAATTCAAACTCCAGTACTGCCAAAAAAGAAGGAAAGAAATAGATCATTTGATCTTTGCTACCCAAAGGTAAACACATGGTAAACGTGAGGCCCAAAGAGAAAGCAAGTTAGTGACAAGAGGACAATCTCCACTTGCCTCTGCAGCCTGTACTTCAAGATAGCATTCAGCTTGACCTTGACCAGGGTCCAGGTGCGAATTTCTCTAACACCATTTTAGAGGGGCAGGACTTTAGCTAGGCGATAGTGGCTCACGCTTGTAATCCTAGCTACTCAGGAGGCAGAGATCAGGAGGATCACGGTTCAAAGCCAGCCTAGGCAAATAGTTCTTGAGACCCTATCTCAAAAAAAATCCAACACAAAAAAAAAATGGGCTGGAGTGGCTCAAGGTGTAGGCCCTGAGTTCAAACTCCAGCACCAGAAAAAAAAGGGGGCTGGGAAGGACTTTGCAAACAGCTCCATCAATGCTATGTGCCCACACTTTTAACCATTCACTCTTACCCCTGATGGAATAGTCGCTGGCAGTGGCCACCACTTCGAATTGGGCTGTAAGTGTTTTAGACAAGTCTACAAGGCTCAGGTTGAGAAGAAACAGCTTGTGGGGGCACAGGCAGACCTGTGCACTACTCTTCAGAAGGTCATCATCTCTGAGAGGACAAAGCAGATGTAGAAAGGCCAGGGCTATGCAGGCACAGTGCAAATGAGTGGTAGAGATAATGCAAAGAGAGCAGGGGTGAGAACTCATTGGGCTGAAGCAGTGGAGGTAGGCTTCCTACAGGAAGAGATATTTCCCTGGGCCATAAAGAGAGGGTTGGGTTTGCCTAGGAGTTTTCCAGGACTGAATTAGTCATGGAATTTTCAGGATGAAGGGAACATGACTGACAGTGGAAAGAGGATGGGGGCAGAGGAGTAGGGTTAGTCAGTACACTGTGGCTGGTCATTCACTCCTTGATTTAAAGCTATACTCACCCCCCACCCCCAGGTCCTAGAAACACCTGGTTAACTTGTCCTTACCCACTTTGCCTGGCTCATGAGAACCAGGATTAGGCTGTTGTTTGGAGGTGGGGACTATAACAGAAGGGAAAGATCTGTCCACCAAAGTATCTTCTCTTTTCTCCACAGTGGGACCCTGAAGATGTCAACCTTGAAAGGAATAAGGACAACATGGAGACCCTCAGAACCCAAGTGCACAGGGACTCTTTGAATGCAATGGACTTTACCTCTGATGACTGATACCTTCAAGGGCCAGTCCATCAGCTTAGAGCCCAAGGTCAGGCATTTATAGTGGCTGGGCAGAACCAACCTACAGTGACATCCATGGCAGGAATTTAAGCTGTTGCAGTAAGGACCCCAGAGCTGTCACTGAAGTTAGCTGTTCTACACCACCAAAGCTCAGGATGGAGCTAAGACTCTAGGTTCTGTGAACAACCTGGACATGCCCAGTTTGTTCTGAAGATTAGAAGTTCACAGATGGCTCCTGCTTTGTAAAGCTAAATCTTCATTCAAAGGACACTAGGCTCAGTGCAGTGGTGTATTTCTATAATCCCAGCAGTTGGGAGGCTGAGGCAGCAGGATTGAAGTTTGAAGCCAGTCTGGGCTACATGGTGAGACTATCTCCAAAAAAAAGACATTGGACCTTTTTTCTATCTTCCCTTTTCCTTTATTCCCAAGAAATTCGACCATAAACATAGCATCTGCTACATGCCAGGAATGAGTTTACCTAACAAACAGCAGTGTGTTTGGATCTTAGCAAAGCCCAATCTGCAAGACCTGGATAAATTCAGAAGGGAGGATTGGGCCCAGGTGCTGGGATCCTAGGGTTCACACACAGGAACAGCCAGGACCTAGCTTCTGCCCTCCATTCACTCTCGCTTGAGTTATCTGCTGGAAGTTACACATAGGGCTGTTGGGTCAACCAAATGTCTGTAAGACAACTGGTTTTGCAAGGATAAGCAAAGCCAATTGCTCTAGGCAACAGAACTCCCTCCAGTCTGGCAGTGTGTGCTGAGGCAGGGTTTGCACTGGGGCCTTGTGTGTTTCAGGAGGTAACTGAAAGTCTGCAGAGGGCAAGGGCATGGTGGGAAGTGTCAATCCAAGCAGAACAATCTCATTTTAGGATTATTTTGATCACAAGTGACAGAATGACAGGAATGGGGCTAGGCGGGAGCAAACACTGAAGTGAATAAATTGTTTGAATGAGTTAAATATCTCACTATGGAACACAGCAATGAGTTTGAATCCCAGCACAAACATCTGCCACAAGGGAAACTGGAGAAATGCCATGAAACGCAGCTATGTTCCCGGCTGGCCTTCAACTGCCTATGACTCAGCTGCAGCTGCCCAGTTTCTCCTGGGGGGCGGAGCAAGCCCCAGCAGTGTGAAGGCGGTGCCTGCAGGATGGTTCTGCAGGTCTAACCATAGATCTAATCCCCTGGGTGACCTCTGAACTTAGTCACCTCTCTATCCCTTTTATCTACTTTGGGTCCCTGTTTGTCTTGTAAGGGAAAGTTTGTTAAAAGTCAGTTTTGCTTTGTGGTCTTAACCACTGAAGTTGTATTTTGAGAGAAGAGGAAGATTTTTGAATGGAGGCCCAGGGAGGGAGGGGATAGAAGAGAACATTCCAGCAGATAAAATGGTACAGAGGACTGGAGGGAGGGAGGGAGGGGTGGAATCTAGTCAAGGAAGGAGAAATGTGATGTGGCCAGAATGGATGGTGCAGTATGGGTTGCAGAGTGGAAGAAGCTGGAAAGGAACCAGACTGTGGCGTCTAGGGAGTTGGGGCTTGATTTCGTGGCTGTGGAAGCTACCAGAATAGAAAAGTGACTGACTTATTTAGGTAGGCCACAGGTGATTAGTGAGTTTCTCCTCCCTATGACTTTTCAGAAAGCAAAAATGTAGTCATGGCTGCAATGAACATGGGTAGCAGGTTTAATCTCAAGTGTGAGTGGAAACAGCAGGGCAGAAGGGCTCACCTTTCAAAAATCAAAAGGCATGGGGACAGGATGACATTTATCTTAACACATCCCCCCTTTCTTCAGGGGAGGCTGGAATGTGCTCCAGAAATTGGTTGAGTCCTGAATGGAGGTGGCCATTGCCCAAGAACATCAAATGGCCTTGCTACGTTGGAGTAAAGCTACTTGAGCTCCCAATATCATCCGTGTCACTGGAGCCCATCATCCCAGCCTCCTCCCTTCATAAACCAGTTCCTACCACCTTGGCCCCAACTGTGTCAAGTTTCTTCATCCACAGTGAACCCCCAAACTGGGAACACTGGAAGTTTGGCTTTGTTTGAGAACCTGTATGCAAAGCTCTAGAATCCTGAAGCCTTTCTGAAGAGGTCCCAACCAAAATCCTAAGACTGGGCCTTGCCCAGCAGCAGCTTCTCTAGTTATTAGTCAGGCTAGGTCAGGAGTTCCTTAACCCCAATGACCAGGGCAATGGGTTACCTAAACTCTGGAGGGGCTGGACAACAAAACTTGCAATCATCCTCTCCCACCCACTTACCTGGAGATGAGAGATGGCGTAACAAATTGTGCTACTACTGTCTGCATAGCATGGTTACCTAACCTTTGTAAATTCCTGAGGTGGACCTGAGAATACCTACCTAGAAAGCTTGTGATAAAGACTAAGTGAATTAATATATGTGGAAGTGTGTAAAATGTGACTAAAAAGTAGATCTTAGAGATCTATACTTTTGGACACATATGCTAAAAGACCCACAAATGGAAGGAATTTCAGCGGTATGGATCCCCTTTAGAGTAACTGCAATAGATGATCATCCAGTCCTTGTTTAAGCTCCTGGGGGTAGAG